ATGTTTGAACATTTCTTGACTCTTTGAAATAAACTCAAATACACATTATTTGCTGCTTTTTGAGTTGATAAAAAAAACACATTTAAGGATTCATTCAGCAGAAGAACACTTTTCTTTATTTTTCTTTATTTTTTATATTTTGGGGCATTTTTGCCTTTATTGGATAAGGCAGCAGAAGAGAGACAGGAAACGCTGTGGGAGAGAGTACAATGACATGCAGCATAGGGCCGAGGGTGGATTTGATCCCACGGCGGATGCAATGAGGACTGTGGCCTCTGTACATGGGGTGCACAACATAACCGCTAGGCTATCCATCACCCAAGAAGAAAGACTTTCATAAATAAATTAACGGTCAGGTTTTTTTTTACATGACCAAAGTGAAACAAGACAACGTTTTTGGGTGTATATCTGGAGATGAAAACTGTGTATGTGTTATGGTGCACTAGGAATGCAATCCATACTATTGAATAGTTCAGTATGGAATCCAATGTTAATTACGTTTTTTTTACAGTTTTGTGTTCAAGTATCCATGCAATGAATTACTCTCTGAATAGAGTAAGTCGACGCGCTGGGATGAGAAAACTCCTTCTTGCATAAAACTCCTAAGATTGGCAGAGGGCTGAGGTCATCTAGCGAGAAGTGTGTATGGCTTTACAGCAGTATAGTTCACACACAAACCTTCAGTTGTAAACACGCAGCCAGTTAGCCCGTCTCTGTGGTTTGAAACAGTGACAGAGGCAAAGAGGAAGAGGACGATGACGAAGAGTTCAAGAGAGAGTGACTGATGGCCAAAGCACACCAAACCAAATCCTACATAATGTTGGTTAAAAAAAATCATCTTTAACATCCACAGAGCGGTATAAAACACGTCAGCCTTCTCATTAATCTCACTTCAGGATGATAAAATCCCTGCCCTCTTTAGCTGACACTATGGATGTTTCCATGGTTACAAAGTAATCTGTTCATGTTTATGAAGAGGACCCCTTACCCACAGATGGAGTCATGAAAATGTGTAAACAGTCAAGTTTTAAATCCACACAGACTCTACACACACTTATTCTCAAGCAAGCATAATTATTTGACCAAGAGAGCAGACTCAAATCAGCATCAGAGAAAAAGAGAGAGAGATAAAGAGAGAAGGTCCACTGTCAGTACATCTCTCTTTTAAGAACACAGATTGAGGTGCCTTTCACAGATCAAAACTGAAGCTTCTTATGGCTTTGTTTTAATACGGTTAAAGAGGACATATCATCCTCCTCTTCCACCTTTTCAAACAGTCCCGTGTGGTCTAAATGAAACATCTGTGCTGTGCTTTGGTCAAAATATAACATGAATCAAGCACCAGAGGAGGTTTGTGACCCTGTATAAACCAGCTCCTCAGAACGCTCCGTTTTGGTGTGTGTCTCTTTAAATACAAAGAGCCCCGCCCCCTGAGTTTTCCCCGTAGACATCACTCCTCTGTAGTGAGAATAAAAATGGCTGACCTGCGCAAAAGTTTTGTTCTAGTCTGGGGGTGGAGTCCATGGGTGGAGATATCAGGGGAGGGGAGGGGATTTTTCTTTTTTTACCAGAATCCCACTGTGACATCACAAGGAGAGCACATTTGAAACGGAGCATTTTTCTCTGTGTTGTAAGACTTATGCAGACCACAAACAAAGGACTGGATGGGTTTATTTCACATGTTGTGGGTCAGTAGACTCTCAGGTTACCCAGATAATGTTCAGAAATACTGTACAAGTGGATTTTTCACAATATGTCCCTTTAAATACTTGTTGACCCTTTCCCCCCCTTCTCATTTTGATAAACGCTACATCACTCTTCCAAATAAGTCTGGCAGAGTAATAACTTTGTAGAGAAGTAACAAATGTCAAAATTATCAAACTAAACACGACACATTTTGTACCACAGGAGGTTTTTTTGGCGCATTAAAAAGGCGAGTGTATTGTCTCTGGAAAATCTGAGTTTTGAAAAACATCACTATAATCTAAGACAGCTGCTCTCAGAGCGGACTGACATTTATGATCACAGTAAACTGATGACAGTTAATGGCTTCAAGTTTCCTCCAAAAAACACCACCAAGCTGCAGTTTGTCACTTCAGGTGCAAGTCCATCCAGTGACCACAAAGTTGGCTCAGAAGTCAGGAAGTGCACAGCGTGCTATGTGACTGTTGTCGAGTTCCATATTATTTTTCTCAGCGAGAAACCTGTTTGTTTTTGTGAGCGCTGAGGGGCTCAAAGGGGATTAATCTGATGCAAGAGAGGGAGCGCGGCGCAGAGTCCTGCAGAGAGTCCTGACCGCTTGACCAGGCATCACGGCTGCAGCCAGAAAATCACCCACTACTTAAGACCACTCACACACACACACACACACACACACACACACACACACACACACACACACACACACACACACACACACACACACACACAACCTGCACAATAGTTCATTACCAGCAATTTGGCTGATTGGATCAGCTCAGGTCACAAAACAACACGTGAAGGAGAAGTGCACTTTGAATCACTCGCACAGAGTTTGAAACTCGGCCGACCTGATGCTGAGTTCACTTTTCTAGTTTGCTTGTTTTTCCTGTTTCTCTCTTTGCTACACAAAAGACTACACAGTGTAATGTTTGCTTGTATCCAGGACCGAATGTACTGCAGATGTAATTCCGTCTTCATAATTCCTATTCAGACTGTGAACAATCACGAACATCAAGTTGGACAGAAAGAAGTCCTGACCTTCCAAAGCCTTTATCTCTATAACCTGAATCATTCGCTTCACTGGCAGCCGAGGTGAAACAGTCTGCTGCTCCCAGAAGTTTCATCGTCTATATACTAGAGCTGATGCATTCTGAGATTACTCACATCTGCTCTCACATGATATTGGACAAATTACTGGATTGATCAACGCTAAGTGTGTGTGAGATTGAAAATGTAACCAAAAACCCAAAGGTGGAAATTAATCTTCCAAAAGTTAGGAAGACTGTTAGGTTTAGGAATAAGATAAGATAAGAAGCATCAGATTAATATCTAACGGTGTTTGAATCCTGACTTCAATTTATGTATCTGAGCTTCACTAGTGACTCTTCATTTTGGTTGCATCCATGTTCAGGCTAGTGGATTACATTGACTCATAGAAAGCTAACATACCAGCAGCACCAAGATCGAAATGTGGCATGTGCTAGCCACTTGGGGAGCAGTGCTCTTAGTTTTATTGGCACATGCCATCGGTCCAGCGGCTTGTGCTGTGGCTGATTGGCTGATGGCATGCGATAAAGAAAGACGGCAACATGTAAACACTCGTCTGTCACACTACCGTCCATCGTCCACCACCACACGGAGGGGAATCAAACTGATAATGCTGTGTATTTAGTGATAGCAACAGATTAGCTGTTAGTACGTATTTTCATGAATTGATTCATCTTGATCATTTTGCGGAGATATCTTTAAATCTGTCTACCATCTAAGAGTAACTCTTCTCTCAGGTTCAAGTGAAACCATATCTATGTAAGGCATCTCATGGCAGCAGAGTTATATTTGGTTTGGAGCCAACTCTCTGTGTAAGCGAAGGTTTGCAAAGAATGAAATGTGTCTGACATTTACGAGTCAAGCAGATGTCTTCTTTCTTGCCTTATAGAGATGTACCAAAGTAGCCAGGAATGTGTGGGCTGTACCTTCTAGCAGAATATAAGCAACACTATGAAGATGAAGACTTTGCCATTCTGCCACTTTGTCCGTGATGGCCAATGTTTACCAATGATTGTCAACGATTGTGAGATCTTGGTCAGCATGGGTCAGCGATGGTCTGCACTTTGTCAGCCATGTGTGTTGTGTTTCTGTGTTGTCTGACCATGGCTGAATAGATCTACGATGACCCACAGTCTGTTTCACAATTTCATCATTGTTCATCTACTATAGAAACAACCCCCACCTAACATCAGCCATCTACAGTATTTCCAAAACAAGGGAGATTTCTATAATGCAAAGTGGGATCACACTATCTCTGCCATCGATTATTCTGACTGGTTTACGGAGCCGAGGCTAACCTTGTTAGCTTTGCTACGAGCTTAGTGGTAATGATATATAGTTAACATTACTGAACAGTCATCATGAAGAAACCAAACAAACAGACTTTTTATCATCATGCTAACCAGACGAGAGAATTGATATATTTCTTTCATAGGATCCAGATGTTGCTCTTATGTTGTCTATAAAGACAAAATGATGTTTATTTACTGCAGGAAAGTAAGTAGCCAATGGAGTGGATGTTCTCGACCACTTTTACTGAGGGGGCCAAACTTGGGGCCAGTTGTTTTGTCAGAGGGGAACATTAAACCCAGGTGAAAAATAGACAAAGATGATCGCTTTAAAAAAAAAATATATATATATAATGCCAAATAATAGCGCACATCATAAAATACCATGATGAATTGTGAGTGGGAGATTGTGAGTCCAGTTGTTAAGTCAAATACTACCAATTCTTCCTTTTGGAGGGGTGGCCACAGTGGGGCAAGCTCAGTGTTACAGGGGCCCCTGTTGGCCCCTGCCTAGAACCGCCCATGAAATGATTCGATACCATATGTGAAATTTTATTTTACCCTGAATTGGTCTTGAACTGAAATGTTGCACACATTTTAACAAAATGAAATGATCATACTGTTGAAACAGGAGGCACACTGCTCGAATATGTACAGACATGCATGTAGTTTGAAATGCTGTAAACACATAAAGCCAAATGAAAAACTCAGGACACACACACACACACACACACACACACACACATAAAAGATAGGTTACTACAGCGCGATGAGGAGGAGAGATCGATCTGTCCGAGAGAAGGGGAGGGTGGAAGAAAGTGCCTGGTTGCATCTTCATCCCAGCAGACCCCTCCTCTCTCTCTCTCTCTCTCTCTTTTCTCTCTCTCTGTTTTCTCTCTCTCTCTCTCTCTCTCTCCCTCTCTCTCTGCCAGCTGATGCTGACTGGAGCTGAAGGAGCTTTCTCTCTCTCTCTCTCTCTCTCTCTCCCCTCGCCATCCCGGAGAAACCTGGACTGACCGACCCATCGGACTGAGCTGTGAGCGTGTTAACGGAGCTTTATGGGTTTGTTTTTGACACCGGCTACTTCTTCTGTGTGATGAAAGCTTGGAGGGGAAAAACTGCAAATATAAGAAACCAAACCAAACCGGGGAGCGGGAGAGCAGACAAGACGGTGCACAGCAACGCGGAGAGAGAGAGAGAGAGAGAGAGAGAGAGACGACAACTTCCAGTGGTTGTGTGTCCTCGGGGCGGTCTGCGGGGAGCTCCGGAGCTGCAGCTGTCATTAGAAAGGTAAGGAGGTTTCTCCACCTGGCGTAATGATAGAAGTGCATCATTTAGAGCGCGTGTTTACAGGTACGTGGATTTGAACGGACGTGGCTCTTGGACTGGACCACCAGTGTGCGCACTGCGTGTGAAAACCCCCCCTGTAGTCCGTCTGCAGTGTGTCACTGTGTTTATGTGGAGCTGCTCCGGCTGAACGGTTGCCATAACACACTGTAAAGATACTGATGGCGCGTGCGTTGCGTACTTGTCTCGTGCAGCGTTTTATCTGCGTTGTGTTGGTGCATTCACGTGCGTTGACAGGGCACGTGGTGCGTCTATTTGTGTCAATACTTGTTACTCTTGCTCTATCTTGTGATGCGTTTAAGGGACATGGTTGCATTGGAATTAAATGTTGACTTGATGCATTTCAGTGTTTACTTCAAACTCCTGCTTGGATTGGGGTGCATTAGTAACTCTACCTGTGTTGTTGTGTGTGTATCCGCGTGTGTGTGTGTGTGTGTGTGTGTGTGTGTGAGTGTGTGTGTGTGTGTGTCAGAGGCTGGAGAGTTTGTTTATGAGCTTTCTTGTAACACCTACTCTTGAAGCCTACAGTGAGGATGGCAGCAGATTTGAATGGAAGCCTGTGTAGACAAAAACTGTGTAGTAGAGTCTCACTCTTGTCTTGTCAATATTGACAAAACAACTGTTAAAAGAAGTATTAGGCAATCCAATAAATGAGTATTTTTCCTTTGAATAAAATTGGACATTGTCTTGATTTCATTTTCTTGAGCGAGCACATTTTCAGATTTTTTTTAATTTTAATTTTTTCATCCTGAAAATAAACTTTAGTTTAATTTGTGTTTGTCGTAACAAGACTTTAAGGAAGTTGCTTTTGGCGTCCAGATTTGAAAATCATCATGTTATAATGCAACACCTGTTTGATTTATCAAGAAAAGAAAGGTTAGTTGTTGGATTTAGGAAAAGGGGGCAGTCACAGGTACTTCGGGTAGGTGCAGGGCCGTGCAAAAACAGCAGACTGAGGAAGAAGATATGCCCGCCTCCCACTCTCACTCACTCAAATGCCAGAAAACGTTTTTTTATTCCATCCCGATCACAATGTTTCGACCAGGCGTCTTCTTCAGGTAGTTGTTGGTTTTGTCATCAGATGTTTGTTGACAGATTTCACGCTGTGACTGAAGGGGCGACGATTCACTTACATGTGAGGTGTTTCTGTAAGCTGAACTTTGCATGTGAGGAGTGAGCAACTTTAACGTTTGTGTGAAAGCAGCTTCTAAAACAAGGCTGTTTATTTTCTCCGTCAAATTTTACAAGTGCTTTACAGCATTAGAGGTTTGAAAGAACTGCACATGCAGCCGGCGTGTGGGCAGTCGGTGAGACACAGAGGCTGATGAGTGTGATGGAGTCTGATTATGGCCGTGTTCAGGGGCTGATAGCTGGAGCTAACGTCACAGGACTAGCAGACCAAGGGTTTAAGAACAGTGAGGAACATTGACTTATTTTCATTCACAGCATGATGTGTTTCTTAATTTAGACTTCAGCGACAGAAACAAATGAACAGACCAATTCTTAAATCAGCATCAGTATGCATGTAAGCCATTTGATTCTGGTGTCTGTTGAGTTTCAACACAGAATCAGATGGTTTTGCAGAATGAAGTAGTGATGTGGTGATCACATGACAGGCAGTTAAAGCTGCTTCAGTGTGGTGTAACCCAACAGCAACGAGCTGACAGACCACACACATCACATAGGTGCAGGGAAATTCAAAAACAGCATCATGAAGAAGATATGCGTGCACACTTTATTAAAGGCTTTATATGTGATTTTTTGATCCAGCAGATGTCGCCCTTGAGCACCAGCATGAAACCAAAACAACTCGCGCTGCATCGTTGTGTTAGCATGCTAATGCTAGCGATCTTTATTATGCTCGTATCTTCACACTGCATGTAAATTTACCTGAAATGAGCGTGATCTAGAAACACAGTTAAGCAGTGAGTACAGTATGTTATTCTTCTTTTCTCTAGTCCCTCAATTAAACAACTTTTATACACGAGGGGAGGAGTCAGCCGGCCGTCCCGGCGATGTAAACAAAGTGAAGATAGGACTCTGAAAACTCTGAAAACATCACAGACAGTGGGACTCGGGTGTTACACCCATTGTAGACAGTCATGACTCACAGAGTTATTTTCAGAGGAGATACTTCTAAATCACATATAAAGCCTTTAAAAGACAAAAGCATATTCATGAAGAGGGACTGTTTTCCAGGGATGTGACTTTTATTCCCCCTTCCAGTTGTCACTAATAACTTGTAACTAATCCCACATAGAGAGACCACAAACACAGGAGCTGGTCATGTGACGCAAAAGGCCCTCTAGTCAGCTGAGAAGAATGCAGAAATTTCAGTCAGTGGGAGGGAAACTTAGCTCCTTTGTTGTCATGAATCATGGGACGGATCCTGGAGTTTAAAAAAACACAGTGATGGTGGTGTGGCTGCAGACACATTCAGCTGGAAAGACAAAGAAAAGGAAGATGAGTGATGTTGAAGACGCCAGTTGAGCGATCTTATCCTCCCTCAACTGTGCGTGAACCAAAGTCCATAAATAGGATAACTCATGCACTGTTGTACATCCATCTCTTGCAGGCTGCAGAGTGACCTGCTGGTGAATCTGCAGGATCAGAGAGTTTTCCTGATTGGACTGTGATCTGAAAGCATAGAGTGCATTTTAGTGTATGTGAGAAATACTCAGATTTATACCAGATCAGCCAGATTTTTTTTTTCCAGGTTTATTTTTGTGGCTTTTTACGATAGATAAAGTGGGAAGTGACGTGAGCTACAGGTCAGATTCGAACCCGGGCCCGGAAGGACTAAGGCCTCCATACATGGGGCTCGCACACTAACCGATAGGTCACAGGCTCCCCAATCGGCCAGAATATTAAAGTAAAAAATGGGGGTATACTGGTCATACTGCACTGCGGCTCTCAGACTGTCCAATCGCAGAGCTCGCCAGCTAGAGCCAACTAGCAGCTTAAAATAGAAGCTCTGTACTGAAATACATTTTACACATTGTCAAATAATATTAAAATGAGATCTTGGTTGTATGAGTATTGAATGTTTAATTAGTCTTGAATTCTATTTACGCACCGACGATTGTGCTAGCTTGATGCTGGCTTGATGCTAGCTTCTTGAGCATGTTGCTAACGACTGCCTCCTCTCCTGCTCTTTATACCTCAACTCCTGATTTCTAAATTGTTGATCTATACGAGCTGCACCGGTACCAGTACCGGTAACCACTCAGACTACAAGCTGGAAGGTTAAAATAAGCAGAGACCGCATCTTTTATACACAGTTTACATGAAGTGCTTGATTTTTTACAACTGTTTGTATAATGTGTTTCCTCTGAGGAGGAGCTTTTACAGCCTCCACACATCAAGCACAAAGACTCGCCCTGCAACATCCTGATCGCTTGTAGGTTTTGTGGTGAGGAATACACGATGCTTGTTCTCCACTTCTGTGAACAATGGCGTCCTGATTGAGCCTCTTTGAAGGATTTTCACCAGGCCTTTACTTTGTTTTGTAAGTGGAGATAACATTTCCTCATCATCGCGTACCCTTACCATAGTGTTAATGTCAACTTGAAGATCTGAGTGTCTGTGTATATCACAGCTGTCACACACACTTACTTGGCGGATTAAGGCTTTTTATGGTTCTGAACTTCACTGGGCTGCTCTTGGAGATTGTGGCTACATATCACATTGATGTCAGTTGCATTTGAATTACTTGGATGTGAAACAGTTCCTTGAACAACGCTGAATTAAGTTGTGTGAAATTCTGCCGAAACAACACTTAAACCCTGTTAAACTCTTCCCTTTAATATCATTACTTCTACATCAGCCCATGATTTAATATCATCAGAAACGGCTGACTATTGCGCCGTGGTTTTTATTCCAGAAGGTGACACAAGTAACCTCCAATAGCAGCTGATTGAAAACCCCCTCTGGACGGGCACAAATGAGAGAAGATAAACTCATTCATTAGAATAACACAAATGCCATCTGAGGCTGGAAACAGTAATGAAATGCCACAATGAATCACACCGCTGCTCTATTAATGATGTCATCCTGTTGCATCCTCTTGCACAATGTTGCATTCCTGTCCTCAGTGAGACACTTTTTGTTTTTGTCAGGCTGTCCCAAAAAAGTGTTTGAAACCCTGACAACTATTTTGATGCCGAGCGCTAATGACATAGCATTAGGCATACTAGCAAAATTAGGCTGCTTGCAGTATCTTAAGTCCTCTTTAACAGGTAATGGAAGTGTGACTTTGGCACTGCAGCCCTTACATGAACACACACTTTAGTCTTTAAGTTTAACTGCTTATTCATCGCAGCGTTGGCAGCCAAAGTACAAACAGCAACATGTGCCCACAGTGCTGCTGCTGCAGCGCAGATCGAAACCCGGAAAAACGAAAACAGAGGAGGATTGCTGAATGTGAACGAACGAGGAATGGGAAAAAGAGACATCAGCAGAGAGGAGGAAAAAGATGAGGAAGTGATATGGGGGGGGGAGGCTGAGAGAGATATTAGAGCATATATAACCCATGTGTATTCAGCTTGGCAGTAACCCCGGGGAAATTCAGCAGCACAGCAGAGTTACTTTGCTGTTTTGATTTGATGAATATTCATGATCAGGCGGAGGAGAGAGAGGGGAGGCAGCAGTTTGAAGTGTTGCTGCTGCAGCCTGTTTGAAATGGTGCTGCAGAGCAACAGAGTAGCTGCTATCCAACCCTGTGCCTTATATAACTACATCAGCGCATAGATCGCCACTGTTGTCTCCAAACTATAAATAACACATACATAAAGCATGCTCCTTATATTCTTAAAGAACGTGGGCACTGAGGTTCAGTCCAAGTCAGTCTCACATACACAAACCTTCCTCCTAACCAGACAAGCTACCCCAGGAGTCCGTCCACACCTTCCAGCCATTCCCTTGAGGATCCAAGGTGTACCCAGACCAGATGGGAAATAATCTCCCAACATGTTGAACACGTGCCCCAGGGCGTACTCCCAGATGGATTTCCCTGAAAATAACTCTACAGAAGGAGTCAAAGCTGTGTTTCCATTGCTGGAGTTTTATTCAGGGACTAAGGACTTGCAGAGGCACTCAGAGGGGAATTTACTAAGAATGGATTCTGGCACCCTGAATTGCACATCAATTGCTCATCTCAAGGTCCTATTCACCAAGAGTATTGCATTTCAGATATTCAAGTGCAAAAACACTCATAAAGTTGTCCTGCTCTGTGCACTTTGTGTACAATCGTCAAGCTCAGCCGTCAGCACCTCTACCTCTCTGCTGCATGAAGCTGTGCCGTGCGCTCTCATCCTGACGGAGATCAATTCTAAAGCTTCCTCGCTGGATCGAACCAGCAAGAGCAATCTTGTTTAGATAAAAGAAACACTCTCATCCTCGTGCTGTGTCACTGCTCCAGATCATCTCCTCACATGTGGATGAAGTGTGTGTGTGTGTGTGTGTGTGTGTGTGAGTGTGTGTGTGAGTGTGTGTTTGTTCCAGGGTTGAGGCTTGGGCAGCCCCAGACTGATACCCTAGTCGGTAGAAATACCCTTTAGATAACCAGAGAACCAAGAAGTCTGTCCAGGTCGTAAAACACATAATACAAAAGTTGAATCAAAAAGGCGACTGGACTTAAGAGTCCAGACATCAGCTCCTCAGACAAGACAAGATAATAATATTATTATTATGTTATGAGTAGCTGCACGGCGGTGTAGGTTCCTGGTTCAAATCCAGGGACAGGAGCCTCTCTGTGTGGAGTTTGCATGTTCTCCCCATGCATGTGTGGGTTCTCTCTGGTAACTCCGGCTTCCACAGTCCAAAGACATGCTCGTTAGGATAATTTGTGACTCTAATTTGCTCATAGTTGTGCGTTTGAGTGTGGCTGGTTGTCCGTCTCTGTATGTAATTGACTGGTGAACAGTCCAGGGTGTACCCCGCCTCTTGGTCAATGGAAGATGGGATTGGCTCCGACCCCCCTGTGACCCAATATGTGAAAAAAGCAGAATAGGTAATGGATGGATGAAAAGATTACAAAAGTGTTTTAAAAAGGATTCAAGCTTTGAATTTGATAAAAACCACGTCAAACCACAGTGTTGGTCTGAGTGCATGATGTGAAACAATGGTTACTTAAGTCTAATTATTAGACTGCCAGTCAGTGCCATTAATCCACAGCTGTTGGTTTTGGTCATTGGATAAAGAAAGAAATATTGAACAAAACAGTCCTATCGATTTTACCGCACAGCCAGCTTTTAATTAGCAGTTATTCTAAAAGACCAATTATTTATCCTCAAACACTAATTAGAACCGAGTTATATGGCAGCTCTTTTTACCTCATTAACACCTATAACGACCAATGTCAGCCCCCTCTTCCCCCCTCATGTGTTCTCTGAAGTCTGTCTCTTACTCTTGCGCATCTTGACGTTAATATATTCATCACGTGGCAGTTCATTAATAGAACATTTGATGTCTTCAACCCCTTCCTTCCTTTCAGTTTCCTCCATCCTTCGACTTCATTTCTTCCTCCCGCTCATAGCCACCCACTCACTCTCCATTCGCTCACCTTCCTCCTTTGCTTATCTTGCATGGCTTCCCTGCTTTCTTTCTGCCTTTGTGTCTTCCCATGCTGCTGCTGTATCTCCACCTTCTCGTCTTTCTGCCCCTCACAGCGTCGTCAATGCAACAAACGACTGCTTGGAGCAACCTTTGTTTTACATTTGGAAAAGCAGGAAGCAGTGTGACACTTAAATACTACACTATGATATAAGTCACCAATGTTCATGCAATCCTGCAGCCCGTCAACATGTTTTTTACCGAACAATACCCAGATTTATACGACTCAAAAAGTGACAACCTCCGGTGTTGAACAATGAAGCCGATGCGGAAGTGTAAAATCATGCAGTTCCTCAAGTGTCCACTTGGGGCTTGCTGCAGAAGCACAGGAAGTCACATACACAACCCATTAAAAAAAGCAAAAAAAATAGGTCTGATTAGCTCATGTCTCGATCCGCACAAACAGTACAGGGGTATAGTTTTTTGATAACTCATCTGTTTTAATTTTTTTAAGGATAAGAGTTATTCACAACGAGACGCGTAGTTGACCTGATCAACAGGTGGGCGCGGTGTAACAGTTTGTCAGGAGGCTTAAAACCCTCAGGCCTCAGCTCCAGCTCTTAGCCTCATGTTAAGTTGACTGAAAGTTTGGTGGAGACAGAATTTTCTAGCATGGCGACCACCATCAATGGGACTCCAAAGCCCCCTGCAGGAACAGACGGGTGATGTCATCAGGCTTTGTCCATTAATATTTACAGTCCATGCTGAAAACTAACCAACACACACACTCAAGTTGTTTTATATTAACTTGCTTTCTAAAATACACTGGCTTTGTTGATAAAGGGTCACTACAAGAGTGATGTCACAGATCCATGTAGTTCACCTGCACATCACTGCAGCAAGGTGAGGAGTGAAGCGTGTAGAGATTGGCAAAAAAAAAGAAGCTTTCTTGGCAGGTGTTTAGTTACTCTTTAAGTATGAGCCATAGTCAGGATGGATTGTTGAATACATTGACGTACTAAACATGATAACTCGTGTTCAACTATACTTCTTGTTTTGTTCTCTCAGGTCGGTGTGAACTCGCTCCCCTCACTCAAACATGGAGTTCCCAGACGACTTCCTGCTGGCCGAGCTGGGTCACCTGCAGCTCTACAACGACTCGCTCTTCCAGAACAACTTCACCGACGGCTACAATGAGACGGAGGCCTTACTGCCGACGGGGGTGAAGGTCACCATCGTGGTCGTCTACATGATTGTCTGCGTCATCGGCCTGGTGGGAAACTTCCTGGTCATGTATGTCATCATAAGGTAAGAGGAAGGAGATTTTCCGCAGGTATATGTTGCAAAAAACAACAACAACTGAACATAGACAGAACTGAAAGCAATCCATTGTGTGAGAATCTCCAGAGAATCAAGAAAACTAGGACCATAACTTCAAGAACGTTCTTTAAGAAGTTTCAAAAAAGACCTCTCTATGATGTTTCTAATTTCCACTTCTTCTTTTTCATCTTTTGGGACGCTAAAAGGGCGTTTCAACTCTTTTTCAAACTAGAACCTAAATGGACAAACTACGGTTGCAAAGTACCAACACAAGTTTTGATTTCGCTCCAGTAGATTGCTTCAGCAGCAAGCTAACAATAGGGTGGTAGAGGCTGCAGTGTCATTTTTGGGGGTAGTTGTACCCAATCAGGATACATCCACTAAAAGTTAATGTCTTTTCCACCGATTTACTCAGGTTGTCATTTTAAGTGTGTAAAGTTACGACTCCACTGCTTCAAGCGAGGATGCTAGTGATCGCGCCGGAGCACTAAACGCATGCAAGAAGGGCGCATACTCACTGAAAAGTTGGCTGGTTCCAATTTCCTCCTGGACCTCTCCACCCACTCTTGATTGCCAAGATTGGATAAACGTTTGGGATCCAAGCGGTCCCTGGACCTCTGGTCTATTCTTGTCTGGCGAGCGCGCCTGAGCCCGTCTAGAAACCCACCGCAACGATCCCAATATGAACTGGGCGACTGCCTCTCTGGCTCTCCATAAGAAATGAATAGAAAGCGTTCCATCGTTGGAGCCAGTGAAGCTGCACGGTAACAGCTTAGAGCGGTTTGTCCCTCGGCTTCATTCTGTAGGTTTGTTTTTTTGTGTTCCTGCTCTTTTAGCAATATACATCAGCATTGCGGTTTATAACGTTAATGGCGTTTTGGAATCTTTCACTCGGTATCACATAATCACTACAGGTGATCTGTGTGTGTGGAGGTTGTTGTTGATGACGTGGTGTATTCCAACTACCATCATAAAGTGAGACTGCAGGATAACGTCGACAAAAAGCAGCTGCGGAAAATGTTTCAAACCACAGCATAAGAAGATTTGTAACAGTGGACGTCTCTCTCTCTCTCTCTCTCTCTCTCTCTCTCTCTCTCTCTCTCTCTCTCTCTCTGGGATGGCGATTGTATATGGACAAAAAAAAAGAAACAATGGTCTGCAGATAGATTTTGGCGGCTGTAAATATACCTGGGCAGCCTGCCCGAGTATTGTTTCCGTGTGGGAAACCCTGCTTACTCAGAGCACTTGCCGTTTGGATGTTCAGATTTTTCTGCTAAAGCCATGAAAACACTTTGAGCCCACTCGTGTTCAAAAGGATAAATGAGATCTCACGGTCTCAACACTCGTAGCTTTGAGGAAACTCCACAGTCCAGACTTTGAGTTTAGTGTTAAGCTCATTTTCAGCCAATCTTCTAAATCATCAAAAGGGCTTTTTGTGTAAGAAGTGATGATAATCCAATCCACACTGAAAGGATCCTTTAAAATAACACATCTATAAATATTCGATAGAAACTCAAAAATAGGCTGTTCGATCTTTTCACAGTTTAAGGTTGTGAGCATTCAGCTGAATTCAAGTCAGAGCTAATTGTCGCTGCCGGCTGTCTGCGAATACTGGTGATGAATTATTAGTCCTTCAGTCACTGCTTTGATTAAATACACTATGCAATATGTAATCACTGAACAATGTCTCCTGTTACTGTAAACTGAATGCGTTCATTTTTTTGAAACCTCACATGGGCACTTATTTTCAATAACCCGTCTTGGAGGTGTTGGTCAGCGAATACCTGACGCATCACTTTGTCAGGTATCTCTGAAAAGTAAGGAACCATTGATTTAAAGGAAGAATGTGCAACTTTTTGATTCAGTAGATGTTGCGCTTGAGCATTAGCATGAAACCAAAACAAACTGCTGTTAGGCCACACCTCCTCCATACTGAATCCTCCACACCTCCCCTCGCGTTTGCACAAAGGACTTATCAAATTGGAACGCACCATAATCAAGCACTAAGCGCTGAGAGCAAGCAGCGGACAAAATTGTCCTTTGTCTTAAGCTGCACTGTTGTGTTAGCATGCTAATGTTAGCGCTCTTTAGTTAACTCGTAGCGTCACATTGCCTGTCAATTTACACAGAATGACCATGATCTAAAAACACTTACATGACATCCAAATAATGAGTCAGTATGTTGTTCTTCTTCTTCTCTCTAGTCCCTCACTTAAACAGCTTTTATACACAAGGGGAGGAGCCAGCCGTCCCGTCATGTAAACACGGCTCTGACAACAACACAGCCAGTAGACAGTCATGACTCAGCGAAATGTTTTCAGTGGATATAATGGATTTCTGCTATATTTATATGTAAAATGTTTCACATTCTGCCTTTAAAAACAACTTTGCATCTTTGAAATCAAACTCAAATTCAGCAGTTTGAGGAGTAGAAGGCATCAGGGCTCCTTTAATCAAAATGTACCAACATCAACCTCTCTCGTGTGTATGTGTGTGTACACATGCCAGATTGCTGGATATCTCTCTGGAGAGCCTTGCAGGCAACTGTCTGGGTGGTTTGTGTCACTGTCCTCTGCACACATGATGTTTGTGCATGCATGCACAGTGTTGGCCTGTGGAGCTGGTTGAAAGTAGCACAGGTGAACACATGGACGTAACATGAGTTTTGTACATGTGTGGTCATGGTCGGTGCGATGGGCAGCGGCTGTCTGCTCATGTATATCATGTTAATCCAGGAAACTGTATGCACGTACCACATGTTGTTACATTCAGGAGACCTTTCTGAACTTCTGCTCTGTGTTACAGACACATGACAGAACATGGCAGTGTTGTGGAAACCATTTCTAATTTCACGCTCATCTGTCCGTTGCAATAAATCTGAGGAAAAACAAGACTGTTGGGTCATTATTAGGACTGTCAAACGATTATGATTAATCGCTGAATGTCAAAAGTGAATCACGATTAATCACCTTTTTAATGCCATATTCAATGTTCCATTTTATTTTGCATTTCAAAACAGTTTTTTTTACGTCCATACAGTTTGGCGACTAGGCCTGGTGTTAATGTGATGAATTGTGGGTAATTACCTGGAGTGGACTTTTCATCTTCATTCTACCCTGGAGGGAAGTATGAGGTTCAAGAGCTTGGGTCCAATATATGAATGTGATGGGACGGACTGACAGACAGAGAGAGAGAAGAAAGTATGATAAATAAGAAATTAAAATGTAAATGAGTTTTTGTTTTTCATCTGTGAGGACCAGATGTGACATTTTGGATGCAGTTATGAAGAAACACTCGGCTGAGTAAAGCGTGAGTCAGTGTGTTTTTTTAGGAGCAGATGGGAAGAAGTGACATTTAACCTACACAAACACATGCCCACGCAAACACTCACATCTTACTACTATTGTTCCTGTAACAATGCCTTTTTTTCTAACAAACAGAAACTGTAAAACTCAAGCTGTGAGGTTTCCTGCCTCTAGATGCACTTCCTGTTGGAGTTAGCAAGCCTTCCAGTTAAGATTTTTGGGGGTTTTCACCATTTCGTCGTCAACAGCCGTAAGAATCTTTGTTTGTTCATTGCGTTTGAAAAATGTGTGAAGTTGAAACGGGCCCCCAGAGTCGTTTTTTTTTCAATGTAATGAATTCTTGTGCTTCCACCAGATGCGCTGAAGAGTGTTTAGAAAGCGTCCCCAATATTGGCAAGCCTCCTAAAAAAAAAATCACTCAGCCAACTAGCATAAAACGGGACTGGTAATGGGATGCAAGATTTTGAAAACGACAAGAATTTGGAATGAAAATGGAAACATCCTTCTCTAAGACTTCATGATATCTTAGTCACCAAGAATATAAAAACAACCACATGATCACTCTGGATACAGTGAAAACATGCTTTTCTAAGGAATTCAACTGTGAGTTCATAGCTTCCCAACCGTTCTCCGTCCTTTAAAGAAGCTGCCTCTCCAATCCCTCACAGTCACAGCCAAGAACCATGAAGTCACTTTTCACCGCCAACACAAAAAACAAGCAGAATCTGTAAGAATGAATGACTGTTAAATGTCTTCCATGCGGAGACTGCAGAGAGAATGAAAGACAAACACAAGGCTCCGTGTGTGTGTGTGTGTGTGTGTGTGTGTGTGTGTGTGTGTGTGTGTGTGTGTGTGTTTGAGATGAAGAGCAGCAGAGAGACACAGAAAGATTGACTATTACAATCAGGACTTGGGGATTTTACAAGTGGGCGGGTCACACCATTATTAACCCCACAACAGAGAGACACGTTGTCATGGCTCTCCTTTGTGGTATCATTGCGATGCCTTAGGAAGCATCTGTTTGGCATCTGTCTCAAGGTTCAGCTTCTGTTTTCTTTCTCTTTAACAAGTGGTCGCATTCGGTTTGGTTTGGTGTAAAAACTGCTCGGTTACATTCAAGAACAATGAACCCTGATTTTTGGGGTTTGCAAATGACTTCCAACATGGAGAACAAGAGAATCTCTTAGGGCGCACTCGCACTAGGCAATCTGTTTCATCCCTAAAGGTCCTTCAACCTCAAAGTCCAGTTCCCTTCAGCACGGTATGGGATGACTGGGCCTAGTGTGAGTGCACCCTTAACCCCAATTCACACATACTCCGTGCGCGCCACGGTCCGTTTTGCTCCGTTGAATGACAGCCTGGTGTGTCCCATGTAGGGCTTGGAATCATAGGGTAATCCCCGATATTGTACAAAATGGGATACGGGTATTTTGATGGTATAATCGTTATTGTATCACAATACAGTGATTCTGCAAGGCAGCCTGATAAGGATCCATCCCAAAAGCTAATAACGCTTGCAACATAACCCCATGGCTATCTGACGCCCCATCATGCTCCATCATTTAACAAACGACGAGCTGAAGATACTTGAAGACTTGTGCAAAACCCCAGTATTATCACTGCACCTAGTCAGCTGCGAGGTTGTTAAGCCTCTCGCAAAGTCTTCACCGGCTTCACACCTGC